GTTCAATTAGTTTTTTTATTTTATTAGAATAATTTCTACTTGTAGAAGCAATGTCTAGATAAATAGATCTTTCAAGAGTATCTTTAGAACTAAGTAGTTTTAAACTATCTTGTAACTGAATAATTTCATTAGTATTAGTCCGTTGAGATGGAGAAATTTCATCTTCAAAGATTTGTAGTCTTTCTTCTAATGAATGCTTTCTAAGATTCAAATTTCTAACAACTTTGCTCATAGTTTTATAACTATCGCAAAGTTATATTGATGAAGATGATGATGTTTGAGAAGTAGTGGTTTGCATAGTTGTCTAACTTTTTCAGATATAAAAAAGGTTAAATTCTATCATTTCTCTGCAAAAATTTAAAGCTTCTTCGAGTGTATAAAATCCGTTTAAAAAGGGGTCAGAAAATCTTTCTACTTGTTGTATAGGCCAATGGTTATATATATCAGGTTTTCTACATTTAATTACTGCAAAAAAACTAAAATTTCTACTTTTTATTTGATTATGAATCTATCTAAAATGCTAGCTAAGACATTAATGCTGCCTAATTTTTGTTTAGAGTCATGTGATATCCAAAAATTATCCAATAGACAGCGCTCCCTTTCTGATAGTCTTTCTAAATTATTTTCTATGAATCGAAGATTAGATCCTTGAGAGGAGACTCTTAAAGTGACATTCCCAAAATTCATCATCATTTGATCCATCTGCATCATGAAGATAATGAGTTAGAAAATTAGTAACCTGCCTACTTAAATTATCTGCTAAAATTTTTTTTCCATTTATATGTTTTATATTAATTTTATAACTACATAAAATCTCATATAATTTTAATTATCTTTTATGTCTTACTTTATCAAATTTTGTCTTTTTAATAAATTTTAATTTAGCTTCACAATCTGCTCTTACTGTAAACTAGGTATTTAGGGATAATTTAAAGCTTTTTATGCTGTATATGATAGCCATTATTTCATAATCTAAACTAGTTAAATATTTTCCTCTTATCTTATATTTTCCGTTAGCATATCTACAAATTTTCTCTTCCTTTTTATCACTATATTTATTTGGTTTGGAATATAAAATTCCTCCCTATCCTAATTCACATCCATATATTTCTATTATCTTATATTCACTATCTAATTGTAATTTTAATGGTGGTAAATTCTAAATTTCTTCTTTTATTCTTTTAGCGAGTTCTATGTATAATGGATTAAAATATTTTTGTTCTTTATTAAATAATTTACCTTACAATGGTTCTACTTTCATTCTTAAATCTCTGATAAAATGTCTAGCATAATTTAATATTCCTAAAAAGACCTGTAATTTCTTAGTTTCTTTAATTTTATTTGAAAATTGTAAAATTGTCTGTATTATGTTTAATTGTAGCTGAATATTTCTTTTTTCTAAAATTATTTCTAAAAATTCAAATTTTCTAAATTCTATTAAAAAGTTGAACGAGTTGCCATTGTTGACGAAATAGTAAATGAATCCTAATTTACTGTACAAGAGAGAAGAAAATGACGTCATTTTTGTCTATATATTTTTCTTGAAATTCTTTTTTCCTTCTTTCTTTCTCTTCTTTAGCTCACGTCCATCCCGATTTTTGCTCCTTATTTTCGGCGACCATACTAGGCAATCATATTCCTTATTTTCAGGTATAATAATTTCTATTGATTGATTTACGCAGTTGAAGAGGTGTATGAATTTAAATATCTTTTTCTACTCCCCTTTCTTCTTGAAAAAAATTTTGTTGGTTGTAATAGTTAGTAGTGTTTTCTTCGTATTTTTTTTATGAAATTGATTTAGATTTTGTTCCAAGTTGTATAAAAAAATGCATATTTTCCTTTCCACCTTCTTGTTTAGGCTGTATAATTAATTATTGTCCTAGAAATTATTAACTGATCTTAGTTGGGTAAATTGACGTTAATTTGGTAAATTCATTTTTGTTGGAATACCGAGAATGTATTGCTTTAGTGTGATCTTTGATGTTAATTTGGTGAATTCATTTTTATTGGAATACCGAACATTTAGTTTTGTTAATTTTATTGTGGATGCTTAAAAAAAATTGTTCCACACTGTGTGGAGTTGCAACTCTGCACTGTGCGGAGAGATCAACTCTCTCCGCACACTCTCCGAAGAGTTCACTTTGAAGAGTTTGGAGAAACTTTTTTTTTGTTTATTCTTCATTTTTTTCTATTTGGTTTTTTATTTTTTTATATTACCATATTTTTTCACCAATGTCCAGTTATCTCCAAACTCTACGGAGTTAGATTTTTTTCCACGTTTCTGTTTCTTTTTATTCTCTTTGGTTTTCTTAAATTTAAATTATTTAATTTTTTTATTTTTTTAGTTTACCTTTGATATATAATATATATGTAAACATTTCTACATAAGAAACAAATAAAACAGCTTAACAAAAAGAAAAAAGAAAAAAAAATCTCTCCACACTGTGCGGAGAGATCAACTCTCTCCGCACTGTGCGGAGAGTTTAGAGGTGTTTCTCGAAACTCTCTGGAGAAACTCAAACTCTACGCTCTTGATTTTTTTTTTTTATCTATTTGATTTTTTTATTTTTTTAGATTACCATAGTTTTTCACTAATGTCGAGGTATCTTCAAACTCTTCAGATGCTCTGCACGCACTGAGCTATGATTTTTTTTCCATTTCTCTTTCTTTTTTATTCTCTCTGGTTTTCTTAAATTCAAACTATTTGATTTTTTAATTTTTTAGTTTACCTTTGGTATATAATATATATGTATACATTCCTACATAATAAACAAACAAGAAAATAACTTAACGAAAAAAAAAATCTCTTCGCACAGTGCGGAGTTGCTCTGCACTATGGTGAGTGACCAAAGTGTGGAGCAACTCCGCACAGTGCGGAGTTGTCTGTGTGGAGTTGCTCGTAACTCAGCACACTTTGTGGGAACAACTCCGCATTTTGCTATCACGAAATGCGGAGCAATTTTTTTTTTTTAAGCATCCATAATAAAATTAGCAAAACTAAATGTTCGGTATTCCAACAAAAATGATTCACTAAATTAACATAAAAAATCACACTAAAACAATACTTTTCTTGATATTCCAACAAAAATGCGGAGTTGCTCCGCACACTCAGCACAAAGTGTGCAGAGTTACGGACAACTCCTCACAAAAGTACGAAGCAACTCCAAACTGTGCGGAGAGTTTACACCAAATTCTCTAGAGAGTTTGGATAGCTCTCCGGAGAACTCTCTAGAGAGTTTGGAGAAACTTTTTTTTTGTTTATTCTTCATTTTTTTTATTTGTTTTTTTATTTTCTCATATTATCATTTTTTCACCAATGTCGAGTTATCTCCAAACCCTACAGAGCTATATTTTTTTTTCACATTTCTCTTTCTTTTTATTCTCTTTGATTTTCTTAAATTTAAATTATTTTATTTTTTTAGTTTACATTTGATAAGAAACAAATAAAATAGCTTAACAAAAAAAAATATTTAAATTTTTTTTTTAGTTTACATTTGATAAGAAACAAATAAAATAGCTTAACAAAAAAAAAATCTCTCCGCATTGTGTGGAGAAATCAATTAATCTCTCCAAACTGTGCGGAGAGATCAACTCTTTCTACACGGTGCAGACAGTTTGGGGAGAAACTCTCCAAACTCTCTGGAGAAATTCAACAAATATAGTTTTGATTTTTTCAATAATTCCCAAAACTATTAAAAAAATTAATGTAGACATTTAGTTTTGGTGGATTCTCGTAATTAAGTTTCAGTGAAAGAAGGCTAATAAATTTACAATTTTTTTTTTTAAAATAGCATAATTTTTTTTTTTATCTTCAACAAAAAAAAATACGTTTAAAAATTAGCAATTTCAAAAACCATTTTTTTTTAAATTCCTGGAAATACAATTATAGAAAAGAAAACAATATTGAATTACAAAAATTAATATCTTCCAAATACGGTATCCAAAGACAATATGTACTAAATACGGTATGTTATAAATACGACATAATGCAAATACGGTATGTTGTAAATACGGTTAGATGCATATACGGTATGCGTAAATACTGTATGTTGCATATACGGTATGTACAAAAAAATATCAGTCAAATACGGCATCTAAAGATAATATGTGCAAATACGGTATGTTGTAAATACGGTATGATACAAATACAGCATGCTGTATATATGATATGATACAAATATGGTATGATGCATATGTAGTATGATGCAAATACGGTATGCTGTAAATACGGTAAACTGCAAATACAGTATGCGTAAACATGGTATGTTACATATACGGTATGAATGAATCCGATTTCGTCCATTACAATAAATTTCAATACCGCATATGCTGTCTATCGTATTTGCAGCTTATCGTATATGTAGGCAATTTGTCGTATTTGCATCTTACCGTATATGCTACCTACTATATTTACAGCTTACCGTATATACCGCTTTTTGCACTTGCAAATACCGAAAATGCAGTATACCATACATTCACTTATCAAACCGAATGTCAGAAAAAAATTCAGATTTTTATTTTTTCAACATAAGTATAAAATAAATATTAAAATATATAAAGGACAAAATATAAAACGCATATGAATATACAAGTCGATTTATAATTTTGTGCTCAATCATCAATTTTCCAATATTGAATTACACAAAATTTAGAAATATAATCTTCACATTCAACTCAATCATATCGATACTATCAAAGAATACATGCAAAATAGTTTGTATAATCTTGTATATTTCTTATTCAAGTATGAAATATACAAACATATTTTTTCTAGATAACACAATTCTGTTACAGTCATAGAAATAATTTGCAATCCTTTTTTTATATCATGGAAATATTTCTAAATATTACTTCAAAAACTTTCTAAAAAATTAAAATTCATACGTTAATAAAAATACGATAAATATAAAATTTTAGCAACGAACATGACAGTGACTATTTGTTTATATAATTTCATTTGACTAATAAAACCTCGTCATTCAACGAAAAAATAAAAAAGAAAGAAAGAAAGAAATTTATGAAGTCTCATTTTCACACACAATCCTGACTTTTTTTCATTCATCTATAGTATTTCTTTCGGCGAAAAAACTCCATTGACCCGGCGTTTGACTTTTCTGAAGTCCAATTGTAATAAATCGAACACACCCACTGTTCTTAGGACCCCCGTTTTTCCTTGATTTTGATCTGGGTTCAATCAAAACAAAAAGGTAATATAATCAGTTGCGATTTGAAGTTTTCTTAAATAATTTGTATTTGATTTTTGCTTTTGTTTTCCTGAATTATAGAATTCTGTGAATTTTACGTTTTTCTGCAAATTCATTGAAGTGGATGTGATGATCGAATTTAATTTGTTTCTATTTTATACTGTAATCTGTATTTTGTTCAATTCTTCTTGATTAATTTGTTAACTTGGTGTTGGTACTGGGTAATATACACTCACTCATATTCATTTACACTCTTTCACGTGCCAACGTGTACACTGTTGGTTTTAAACTCATCAATCACGTCACTGCATAGATTCCCTCCATATAGATAGTAATGTCATCCAAGTGGTAAGCAAGTATGTAGATATAGCATTATTCGTGATATTATAGAACCTTTATTGAGTCCTAATTTTTGTATTGTTTATATTACTTTTTATGTATTCTTGTTCTGTTTTTATATGAATCTGTGTTTCTTTCAGTTCTAGTTACGTTGAATGGCTTATTTCACTTCTTGAAACTAGCAGATTAATCTACTCATTTATATGCTGTCCATTTTTGTTAATTTCATGCCCGAATCATTTGACTTTCCCAACTTTAGTGACTGTTCAAGAAATTTTTTATTGCAATGTCTCTTTTGCGACAAATTTTGGGTATGGCTGGTAATTGGGCTTTGTAAACCAGGCTTGAGGCGGCTCAGTCTCATGCTACTTCTGGTTTACTGCTCCTAACATTGGGTGTTTAGGATGGATTTGATTCTGTCATCCCCCACCCCCACCAAAAGAAAGATGCAAAAAGAATAAAGATCTAGCGAACTATTGGACGGTCTATAATAAGTCAAATCTGATTCTCTAGGCTATGCAGCTTATTCAGAAAGAACTTAGTTTCTATCCGGATATAAACATATTTTGTTATGCAATTGCACAATGTCAAAAATGCAGTCCTTGTCTCAATACACCTAGTCTACTTTTGGCTCAAGTTTATAAATTGTTTATAAACATTGAAGTTACTTTTTATCTACACATTTCAAGGGAACCACGAGTACTACCTACTTATTCACCACTCTTTTCTATCCTATTTATTGTTTAAACCGTTTATGAACACTTCCCAAACATGCTTGTACATGATTTGAATCAGGGTTGCCTCGCCTCTTATAGGAAAGCCTTAATTAAGAAGCTGATATTTTGGTGCAATTGTTGAGGAATGATATGAGGTGTGGAAAGCCAACCTTATCGCTAATTTCTTAGTTGTTGATAATGAGTGGCCATGAACTTCATGGGTTTCCTTTATTGGAAGTCACATAAATTTAGTATAGAAAGTGTTCCTTCACCCTGGTGGTGTGGTGTCAGTTCTCTTTCCAGGCACAGTCGACACATATTCTATCATTGTCCTATTTACATCTAGGTTGCAGCTGTTAGCTTGAATCCGTTCACATCTAGGTTACAAATGTTAGCTGTTGGTTTTACATAATATATTCAATTTTGTCTTAAATTATTTTGAACTGTTTCTTGATTCAGTTGTGTTTCCTTGCAGATTTGTAAGGATGTTGAGATGCTATTAGCTTGTGGGATGCACTGAACTTTTGTTTTCTAAAGGACTTTGAATTGAAAAAGTTATGTCTTTGGGTAATATCTCTATGATTGGCCACAAAGATATTGAGATTCAGCGGCAAAGCTTAGATTTTGCTAGCAGGTAAATGATGAACCTTCTTTTATGAAGGCCTTTTTTTTTACATGGATGTTTATTCCTTAAATCTCACGTCAATTTCCCTGTGGGATCGGGCATAACAGTGCAGCAAGTTCTGTGTCAGAGAATGTGAAGGGAAAAGACCACATTCAAGATCAAGAAACCATGGTACTGGTACTTAACGTTAGTTACTACATATATTGGTACTTCTTTGGTTTATGTCATTACATAATGTTTTATTTATGGGGAAAAGTATTGTTACTCCATGTTTCCTGATTTAGTATGTGTGCAGGAACTTTATTTGAAAGCTAGATCACAAGAGATGGAAATCCTGTATCTTCGAGAACAAATTGCTCTTGCAAGTATTAAGGTAAGATGTGTGTTATGTGTGTTTTCAGATTAAAAAAATTACAGATATAACATATCCTCGGGGAAGATTATGCTTTGTCATTTATGATGTCAGGAATCACTGCTGTTGAATGAGAAACATGCACTAGAGAGAAAATTTTCTGAGTTGCGAATGGTTTGTATATTTTTCTTACAGGCCTTGGTCCTTACTTCTATATTGCTAATCGCTGGCATTTTTTTCTTTTCCTTGCTACAAGAAATAATGCCCAATGTAATTTCATTTTTTTTTATGTGATAGATTCTAGATGAGAAGCAAAATGAAGCTATAACTTCTGCATCAAATGAGTTGGCCCGTAGGAAAGGTGATCTTGAAGTAAATTTAAACTTACTCAATGAATTAAAGGTAAATACTCAATTAGTCTCTGATTCTGTCATATTTAAATTTTCTGGTATTATTTGTTGTTTTTGGCCTTCGAGTAGTGCTATCTATTGATTTAAACCAATTGTAGGATGTGAGGTCCATTTGGTTAAGTGCTACATAGTATTATTCTTTTGTAAACTAGACATATTTTTTGTTAGAGCTGCATAAAAGAAAACTAAAGTCACTGTTTTCCAAATCAGGCAAAATTTTACATGTTTCTGTCGAGGACCTTTTTTTTCTCCCATTGTTGCCAATATCTATACTAAGCGTAGAATGGAATCTTTGCTTTGTGCTCCCTCTCAGAAAGAGCTGAAAAGTGGTTGTGCATGTTATTTGAAGTTCTAAGATGAAGGTGTGGACAGTACTTAGTGCCTATTTTCTCATGTTTAGCAAATTCGAAAGGTCCACTTTGTTTTTAACATTATTGCGTCTTTGAATCTGACTGAAATTCCCATTAATCCATCTGGAATACCTCGTTAGAGATCTTGCAGCTCTTATGAATATGCTGTGTTCAATACTGTGAATATTTTATTGTAGTTATGTTATCTCCATTCAATCCTCACATAAATTTACAGGTTCTTTTGGTATAAATGACTCTCTTTTTTTTCCCGGCAAATTTGTTTAACTGTGTAGAACTTTTCTCTCAATCTAACTTCTTAAAATAGTTCATGTCATTGGGTGCACTATCTGTCAGTCAATACTCTGTCCTTCACTTCTTGATCTCTCCCTCCCTCCCTCCCTTACACTTTTGCATTTTATCCTCAATATTCAATGTGATTCAGGTCGCAGAGAACGAGAAACATATCCTTATGTCATCCATGCTAGGGATGTTGGGCGAGTATGGTGTTTGGCCTCATGTTACTAATGCCTCTGCCCTCACCAACAGCATAAAGGTGTGATTACGGCATATAGTAATGTACTTGTGATGATATAATCCTCTAGCTTCATTTGATCATCATATCACATCTATTGCATGCGATAAACTTGCAAGCCATGTTTCTCTTTCTTTTGGCTTCATGAAACATTGTCCACTCGTAGTGGTTACTAAAGGATTTCTTTATCTTGGGCATGCAAGCCATCATTTTCTTGGACCTAAAAAATTTCTTTACTAGAAAAGTTTTTACTCGGGGAGAAATGTAACTGGCCTTATGGGCCATAAAACAAATGTGACTATGTTTTCATCGATTTTGTTGTGGCTCAAAGCAAGTTTTCCTATGGTGTGATTACAAATTTTCAATATTTATTAGCTTTGGTTTAACTCCATAAGATGATAATGGATGTGACTATGTTTTCGTGGATTTCGTTGTGGCTCAATGCAAGTTTTCCTATGGTGTGATTACAAATTTTCAATATTTATTAGCTTTGGTTTAACTCCATAAGATGATAATGGATGTGACTATGTTTTCGTGGATTTCGTTGTGGCTCAATGCAAGTTTTCCTATGGTGTGATTACAAATTTTCAATATTTATTAGCTTTGGTTTAACTCCTTAAGATGACAATGATCCATCCAAATTCGAAAAAGTTTCTTCTTCTATCTTAGTTTTATGATAGTTCAATAGATATAAACCTTTTTAACAAGGTTTGCACACTCAGGTCATTTTCTTTTTCATGCTTTGAGTTCTCTTAATTTTTGCAGAACTTACACGACCAACTGCAGTTGAAGATAAGAACTTCACATGTAAGATCATCATTTATTGCTTTTGGGAGCTCCTTGTTATTATGAATTTTATTGGATTCAATGGGCACAAAGGATTTAGCTCTTATCCTTACGCAAAATGAACTCTTTGCCCTCGTAGTTAACGCACACTGTTGACATGAATGAATGAATAGTTTGTTTTCTATTGAACACCCATTAACTTTGCGATTCTATTTGTATATATCGTTATATGCAGATTATTGAGAAAATTAACTCTTTGCGCTAATAGTTTATGGCACACTGTTGTTTGAATGAATGAATAGTTTGTATGCTATTAAACACCCATTGAGTATATTTCCAGATTGATTTATATATGTGCAGTGTATTCAGATAATATGCTGTATCATCATCATGTACACACACATACACTGGGATGCGTCAACTTCAGAATAATTAGTTTCAACAGTCTTGACAATTGGCTAGTGCTTGCATATTATTTAGTAATGAAAATTAAGAGAGGTTTGTTATTAAATCTTTAATTACTTCTCTCTAATTATGATTGGTACCCCAAAATTCCTAAATCCTGTTCTCCTATAAGTGGACTAGAATTAACACCTATGTCTTAAGAATATGTGTCAATTTTTGGTTCGGATTTGTTATTGCATGTTGCCAACTATGAGCTGCTGGGGCAGGTAAAGGGTTTAAGTACCAAATATCTGCTTTTGGTGAAGCAATTGGAGCATAACTCACCACTATCATGTTTCAGTAAATCACTTAACAAATTGGAAAACTTCTAGCGCTAATCAAGTCCAAATAATTGGTTGAAAGAACTGATATAATATGGGATTATTGCTTATTCTGTTGGTTGGACTTGAATCCTAGAGCGTGTAGTCTTTTCGCCTCAGCTTTCACCATTGGAGTTCGGCCTCATCAGCAAGTTTAAAAGACCCGGCATATGAATAATATGTTCAGTACCAGTTAGCTCTTTTTTATTAGTCTTGCTTTGAATAGTCTATGTGATACACTGATTGATTCAGGACATGGATATTATATTTGGAATATCGTGCATGGACTGATGTCTGCACTTTCAAAGATAATGAGGCACATTCCCTTAACTCAAAATTAATTATGATTATTACATACTTCTTTGACCTCATGTTAGATCGTTTCTTATATTTTGCTACTTCCCTTTTACCTTCCTGAGAAAGCTTTCTGCCAACTATTTGAAGTTGAGTAAATTTTGATATCCGTACAGTGATGCTTGAGTTGGAATTTTTTGAACTAACATTTCCCTAAATTACTTCGTTTAAGCTTGTTAGTCATTAGTTGATGAAGTTATATTTCTTTCTTGGTCTAGTTTATCCTGTAATCTCTAATTATACTACTACAGTATTCGTGTCTCACATTTTACTCCATGTAATCTAGTGAATTTATCCACTATGATAAAGTCTAGCCAGTGAAAAACTTTGGAACTAAACAATTGCACTTGAAAACCATAGAATTCTTTGTTAAAGAAGTGTTTTTTCCCCATCAAATGCCAGATGACTTCTGTATAGGCAAATATTGCCAACCATTCTTCGCTTTCTTATTTGAAAGGAGAATTATTTCATAGATCTACCTTTTGTGGTGGTTGAACTCAAGTTAGCTACGTTCTCTGGACCCCCGATTATAATTTTGTCACCTTAGGGGAAATCATATTTATCTAAACTAGATAAAGTACAAAAACATAATTCTTGAAAAGTATTATTATTATTATTATTTTTGTTTACCCTTCATTCTCTGGTTACTTTTGGGGCAGTCTGTGAATGGAACTAATTAGGGAAAATCACCATGCAGGCCAAACTGCGAGAATTAGGTTTGATGATTGAAAATGATGCTAGAAATTTTTTAGACAAAGAAACTCCTAGTACAAGTGTTACAAATGATCGACTCCCAAACCGTTCAATGGTACTGTGATTGTCTACTTGATTGCCTCACTCTAAATTGCTTCTTTTAATCCATTATTTCTCCCTCATTTTTAAAGAAAGAATTGATTAATTTTTATTCTTCCCTTTTCAGGATGTTCATGGTTTTTCACACTATAACCAGTATGTTGAGGGGCAACATTCGGAACCGACTAGTAGCGTGTCAAGATATGTACAAGGCATCGATGCTACAAGAATGACAATGTCCAACACTGATAGGTTGGCTTGAAGTTTTGGAATTGTTTATAAATGGTTAATTTGTTTTTAACATCTTTATTACCGAGAATATTTTCACTTGCCTATCAATTCAATTGTATGGCAATGATCTAGCCTTATCACCTTATCTTTCGCATAATATACTGCAAAATGACATAAATTTTGAATCCCATGATTTGATCTCTACAAAATCATGTTGTGCATTATTGGATTTGTCTTGCTTCAGATGATTTTTCATTTTTGAATTGTATCGAATTCATTTTCTAGTTTAGAGTTCCTTCCAAGATGTTTTCGCCGATGGAAGGGCATTGCAATTATTATCTCTTGTTTATACAGGCTATACATAATTGTGAGATGTAAAATTTCATGCTTTTTTAAATGTTACAGTGTAGCGTTCTTACTTGTCTCTACTCATGTACCCAATTTCTCATTAAATAGATCATTCTACACGTTCTTTGAGTTTCTGAAATTACTTTTCCTTTAACTTGTATTATCATTTGGTTACCGTCCAGAGATATAGAAGTTTGTAAGGCCCTGCATGACCAATTTCTCAAGTCATTTGGTCAGTGACTTATTAATAGTTCTGGTGCAAGTCTTGAGGCCTCAGGCTTGGGTTGTTACCCATAATGTTCTCTTTCATTTATGTTGTAAGAGTATATGTCCTACTACTTGGGCCTGCCAAGTTTTTTACTTCAGTAATGGCTGGCTGGAGAGATTAGTATTCCCAATTTCCCATATGCAGCCACTTATCTTTTGGATGCTTAAACCTTATCATTGTAAACCTCAAACTTTCATTATTTTAATCAAATTAGAACTGCAATAAATTTATTATATTTCCCACTTCAGGGTCTACAATTCATGTTCTTAGCTAAGTGAGACTGGTATACTATTTAAAGAGATTGGTGTTGGAGATAAGAGTATAAAGTTTGCATGACCATGTAGTTTTGGTTTATTTATATTTCTGGAGGTGACTTGTTCCTTCCACTAGTTTAGGAGCATGAATTGTTTGAAAACTTATATTGTAATTAAGCATTTTCTTTTAGTTAGAATTTATAGATGCTTGTATCAATTGTATTCCTTATTTAGCTAGGAATTAACATAGTAATAGAATTAGTTTTCGTACCTTAAATAGGATTTGTATCTAATATAAATATGATTGAGTAGTCAATTTTTAATTTGGTATCATGGCAAAGAAACCAAAAAAATTCAGAAATTACCTTCTCTCTACCAAACCCTAGTAGAACCATAAGCATGGGGTTCTAAAATACTTCTTAGGCATTGAAGTATCTTGGTCGAAGCATGTGCCACTTCTTTCCCCAGAAAAGTATATAATAGATCTCTTGGCAGAATTCGGCAAGCCAGCTTGTGAGCCTGTAAGCACTCCCATTGAGGTGACCATGCCTATCTATCTACCCTGGTCAAACTTTGACAAAGAGAGAGAGATCAAATACTAGTAGGAAGTTGATATAACTTGCACCAAAACTTGACCTGTCATATGCAATGTGTTGTGAGTCAATTTATGCATAATTTGAGTCACGTATGAATGCAATAAATTGCATTTTGGTGTATTTAAAAAATCTCTCTGGGGAAGAATATTTTGTTCTGTAAACATGGGCATCCATATATTGTGGGTTATACATATTCAGACTTTACTGGTTCAAGATTGGATAGGAAGTCTATGTCAGGTATGTATCATTTGTTGACTGCAATTTGGTGATTTGGAGGATTATAAACAAAATGTGGTATCACTGCCTAGAGTATGCTCTTAATTACTCAACTACTGAACTTATATGGCCGAAATTCTTCTTGGTGAGGTTGAGTTTGGTCCAAAGAAACCCACGGTGATTTCATGTGATGATCGAACCCAGCACGTTGAACTTGACAGGAAGTATATCAAGGATAGGTTCTGTAAATTAAGAGTGTGAATCAATTGGCTAATATAACTACTCATGTTGTTGTTAGCAGACTGTTCTTTACATCACTATCCAAGTTGGACCTGTGTGATAACACACCAACTTGAGGGAAGGAGTTAGCATGTGTAGATGTTTGTATCATTTGTATTTCTTATTTAGCTAGGAATTAACATAGTAAAAGAATTAGTTACCCTACCTTAAATAGGATTTGTATCTTGTATAAATACGATTGAGTAGATGAATAAAATTATTCAGCCGATTGTCAATTCTTTAGTTTTTAAATGTTGCCAGTGTAGGACAACATTTAAATCAACAAATGATAATCTGTCTCTTTTCCTTCTTTTTTTGGGGGTGGGGGGTTTATTTTCCTAGGTATCGGGTGTGTGGTAAAATAGAAACTCTTCATTCCTCTAATATGGCAATTTAAATTAAATATTTTTAAGGAATGGAATTCATTGTCATGCATAATTAGAGCTTTTGAGTATCCTTCTATTCCTCTGAACGTATTTACCAATTTCATCACTCATCTATGCCGAAGAAGCATAAAATTAATGCTGTAGTATAGAGACTTGAAGGAAAATTATAGATGAAGATGCAGTCGGAGAAATGAAGGGATCTCATTTACCTTATGACTAACGGCTCAATCCTTTCTGTAGAATACAATAAGTTCCATAGGTTGATTTTTAATGCAGCTTATTTTAATTGGCAAAACTATGTTGGAAGCTAGGAGAGACTGTCAACATCATAATGTCCTAATTCTTGATTGATCCTATCCTAATGAAACTGCTTGTAAATGTGGCAGGATAACTTTTTCCCATTTACATTTTCTTAGAACTCCAGTTTCTGCTTCAATTGTTACTTTGTTACTTGAAAAAATTCCTCTTCATGCGGAGTGCTGACTGGTTAAATTGCAGAAATTTTGCAGGGCATACTGTAGACAATTTGCTTGACAGGAATGAATTGCAGAGAGGATCTGAGCAATGGAACAATGAACAATCTTTCCATCAACCAACTATGGGTGATGGAGTTGCTTCCTTTAGTTCAGACGGTAATATTCCATATACCCTTTTGACAGATTAATACATCTTTTTCTTTTGCCACGTATAATAAAAGTTCTGCCTTCAGAAGAGGGTCCTGGAATAGAAGGCTTTCAAATTATTGGGGAGGCTAAACCAGGATGTAAACTCTTAGGCTGTGGATATCCTGTACGCGGAACTTCTCTTTGTATGTTCCAGGTATGATCAAGATTACTCATCTATAATGGCTATATATTTCAAGTTACCTGTATTAATAAATTAAATTTTTTGGTCACCAATTTTTCTCTACTTATTAGTGGGTTCGCCATTATCCGGATGGAACTAGACATTACATTGAGGGTAAGTATATTAATGTCCTCTTTTTTTGTGATAGATCTTCACTGACAATATTTTTGTTTGATTGATGAGTGTTTTCAATATATATTATTCACATTAAAAATCTCTCTTACCTCTATTTTGTGTTTGTATCAGGGGCCACTAATCCAGAATATGTAGTGACAGCTGATGATGTGGACAAACTTATAGCCGTTGAATGCATACCAATGGATGAACAAGGACGACAGGTATATGAACTTACATTTTGTACATTATGGGAATCATGTTGTTGAATGCTTTAACAGTTCTGAAGGTTCTCTGTGATCAATTCAATATCCAATGAGACAGTTTTGTATGATTTATTCAATAAAATTATCATATACATTCAACGTTGACTGATGCATTCGTTCTTCCAAGTTTACCCTTGAATTGATGTGGTACTAGAGGACAGATTTGGATTATTGAAAATAACACTCTAATTTGCAAGAATTAACCCTTTCATTCCTTATTTTGGTAAAGGATATGATGGCATTTGATTTTTCCATAAATGTAAAGATGGATCAAATGGAGCAACTAAAAGAATCCAATATAGACTGTCCCAATTAGTATATTGTTGTTGCCTATTAAGCATTATTTCCTGAAGGGTACTTCGATAAAGGTAACAAATGGACAACGATGATCATATTGAAAAATATCAACTGTATGTCTTAACTACACTCATCCAAGGGGATGTAAGTGCGGGGAATAGGATTCTTTTCGGTAGGAATATTTAATATTTCGTAGCTTGATAGGTCTTCAATTAATAAATTTGTGATTTTTATTAAAAAGAAAAAAACTATACTTTTCATCCAAGGAAACTTAAATATTTATAGGTTTAAGATCAATTCCTATATTTCTATCTCTTCTATTATTATTTTTTAAATAGTTTCTAATTGATGCACCTTCCGTTCTATACAGTGTAAGAATGCTAAACTTCTTACTTTTACGTCAAATTGTCATTTTCAGGGTTACATTGTCAGAATTTTTGCCAATGATCATAACAAGATAACATGTGGTAAGTGCAATTTCATTGAAAGACAATAATCCATTTCAGTACTTGAAACCTTGACTTTGAAAATAATTGTTGGTCATTTCATATGTTTGTACTATAGGCTACTCTATTACAATTTTTTGATATTTGAGGAAGTTGGTAGTTTAATGTCTTAATCATATTTCAGAGAATAGTTGAGTAGATAACCTTTTTACTAGTGTGTATGGCTTCATTCATGCCTGTTATTTTCACTTTACATTGAAACTCTAATAAGGTAAAAATGATTGTAGATTGTACCTGAAAGAAGGATTCTTTGAGAGTGAAATCAAGTATCTCCATTATCTGGAAGGCATTACTATAGATGAAAAAAAAAAACTATGCAGTATAGCATTCACAAAGGAAAACTTCTTGCCTCTGTGTTTGCTTAATATGTTATCAGGTTTATTTATTAACAATTCATTGTCTAAGTGAACTAACAAATCACAAATACAGACCTAACAACCTCATTTTCAATTTATCTTTCCATTTTGTAGTAGTCTACACTAGAATATTGGACTTGGTTCTTATCTCGATATGTAGCACAATATATCCAGAAAATAATTTCGTAGTTACCAATTGTGATGTGTTCCTGTTTATTTGTAAATGGAGAAAAAAATCTAATACACGTTCATGTTATGACATAAATGGTACATCTTTGTGATGCTGGCTCCTGATCATCTGCAGAGTTGTTGTTAGACCCCAATTAAATTATTCCGGGAGAATTCTTGCCAATCTACTACTTTTGTGATAATTTTGGGAATAATAGAAAAAATAATTTCTATTTCAAATTGCCGAAAAGAGTATAAAACTTTTGTAATTTTATAGCACGTTTTTAGGGTGGATCCCATAGTACTATAGTGTTTGGGCTTTATTTTAATTTCATTTTCAACCACACATTCTTCAATAAAATATTATTACACATAAACCAAAAACTTTTTCTTACTTTTTAAACCACTCATTCTCCAAAAAAAAAAAAAAAAAATTACTACTACAAAATACTTTTTTCCCAAAATCTCATTAAAATGTAGCCTAAACAATACCAAACATACTTTTGATGTTTAACCTTTTCTTCTATGTTCCACGACTAATTTCCAAATTGATTTTCAAGCCGAAAACGCAATTATTTAACAATTGTGTATAGAGATTAACCTTTTAATGTGGATACCCAACATAAATACCATTTCTCCAGCCCCTTCCCCTAACCTAAATGAGGAAATAATAATAATAATAAACTGCAAATAGTGGGTATCATTACAATTAGTTTCTTGCATATCCTTTTTACGAAAATATTATATAATAGTTGCCTGTCGAAATGAATGTTATCTGATGAGTGGTTTGCTATATTTAGACGAAGAGATGCAAGAGGAGATTGATACTTATCTTTCCGAAGGCCAGGCAACGTTCAGTGTCCAAACACTGGTAGGTTTTACTGAAGCACGCATTGAGTTCTTGAAGCAAGATTTTTATTTTCTGTTTTTTATTTTTTATTCCCCCCCCCCCCCCCCCCTCCCTCCCCCCCCCCCCCCCCTCTCTCTCTCTCTCTCTCTCTCTCACAATTAGCATCTTTGCTTTCCTGGTTTCTCTTTATTCTGGAGAAACCTTTCTTGGAAGTTTTGCCATTGTCGCTGCACATCATCCCTTTGCCACCTTCCAATTATGTTGAGACCAAAGCGGCATACAAGAATGATGAGGCAAACCTAGTATCACCACTTCTCTTAATCAGAGTCCAATATAAGATTTTAAACTTGATATCAGCAGAAAGGACACATGTGATTCCACAAATGATATTCTAATGCTAGAATTTAAGGGTCATGTCATAATTAAGTACTTTTATCTTTATCAAATTCTTCTGAAGATACTTTGATTTATAAATTTCTGTTGAAATTTCCAGATATGCAGAACTAATTAGACATATCTACTAGGTATATAGATGGGCTGCCCAATTTTATGTTGTTCCTTTCTGTTTTAAATTGATAATACACTTCTTGTGTATTATGCATTGATTAATAAAATATTTGATTACCTTTAAATAAAATTAGACATATCTCGTTTCTGATATTACAGTAATATTCTAAGTTGAGAAAATGGTATATGTAGACATTTTAAGGTCCTTGTTAACATTTCCATGACATATGCTTATGTGTATCCTATGTCCATGTTTATAAACTGTATTTGATTGGTAACTAATAACGTTTCAAAGTTTTCAGCTATGTTCTTTTAATATATTACTGATCAGCTACTTAATTGAAGATTCAACAGTTAGATTCTTCTGAGATCTGGGAGCCAACAACTGTACTTTTGTGGCGCTCTGGCTTTCAGGTTAAGGTTGATAAAACTCAAGCTGTGTTAATTGCAGAGAAATATTCTAAAGACGTTTTGGTAAGTCCTTCCATCCTATGGCCTTGAGCCAAGTAAAATTTTAAAAAGCTCTGCTACAACAATTTAAATCTTAGGTGATTGGTTAAAATTCATGTACGCTTAGGATGTGTCTTGGAGCGATATAGCTTATTGTATATTGTATTTCAGATTTTATGCACTTGCTTTTCTTTATAATGAACAAAAATATTTGCTGCTACCAACAACTTAGCCCTTTGTTGAGTTCCATTGTTTCATCAAAATACATTCTTCAACAATGATTTGACATCATTTCAGCCCCACATTTTACAATAAAATAATATTACACGCATATCCAAAACTTTTCCTTATTTTTTAACCACACATTCTTCATCATAAAACTATTTCAAAATGCATTTTTTTTGAAAAATGAGGCTCAAACAACCCCTTATTCTTACTTCCGAGATCTTTCAAAAGGATCGTTCTGCACAAATTCAGGTTTAACAGAGTTTCCTAGCAAAGAAGAGTATGAATGATAAGATGATCTTTTTTTGTGTCTCTATAAGAAAGCAAGCGAGTGATACATGCTCACATACCAGAGGTTTGGAGGAGACCAAGCCCAAGCCTCAGTGTGGGCACTTTTGGTGAACTTTGTTTAATATTGACATTTATTATGTAAAAGAAACTTGAAAGGAGAGACATGGCTTATGGTGCTAACTGAATTTGTAAGTATTGGATTTACAAACTGTAAGAGAATAGGTTGGACACCTCTCATTGTAATGCTCCTTTCTTACGTTTGCAGATCAAAATACCCGTTGGCCTCTCAACACAGTTTGTTTTGACATGTTCAAATGGCTCGTCATATCCCTTCAGCACAAATAAGGATATTCGGTAACAACCAATTTCACTTCTTAAATCTGTCATATTTATTTATTATTTTTTTTTATCATGATTTTCTTTTTCCTTATAAAGCAAAAACATATTTTCTTTTTTTTTTCTTTTTTTTTAATTATGTTGTTTCTGTGACGATTGCAATCTTGAAGCTTTAATTTCCTTTGAGTTAAGCTTAGAAAATTGAATTACATCTGTTTTCTAAAAGATACAGAGGCAGCAAGACAAATGAAAACTTAAGTTAGACTTCTCCCCTGCTTAACAAGATGTCATCCAGGGAAAAAAATGGTCATCCTACAGCATCAAAAATGATATAGACAAATAATATATGAATAATTTAAAAATATTTTGCAGGAATTTCTTGAATACTGTTCTTTCCCGCTTCAGACCTTTTTAAGGAGTAATGTGTTTTCGAAGAGAATGTTAGCGCAAATACTTTGTTAGTTTGGACAAACTAGCAATGATTTGATATCAATTGAATGCACCATTACTCCTCTCATGACATGCATGTTTTGTCTTTTTTGTTTGTTTTTGAGATTTTCTAACCCTTGGCCTTGTCGTTTTCTTCATAACTCCTTTGTTGTTGGGTCAATATACTGGTTGGCAAGCAAAATATATTTTACTTTCTTCCATGAATTATAGATTTCTAACAAGATGCTATTTCATTTTCCATATAGAATGAGAGAGACACTTGTGCTGACGATGAGAATCTTCCAGAGTAAGGTATTCTTTCCTGCATGTTACTATAACATGGCATATTTCTGTGAAGCACTTATAACTAATTTCTTTTGTGAGTGTTCTTTATTTTTGCTTTCACTACAACGGATTTATCAATTCTTAAATTTACAAAACCGGTCTCTTTTTCTACACTTTTACGTTGAGCTTGTAGGTTGTAATTGATAGTTCTGTTTAAAAAGGAAGTAGTAAAGATTCAACAAGGAAATTACATTAATGATGAGCGCTTTGAGTTTTTTCATTGTTGCGTCATTGTCTACAGAAAAGAGCAAGTGTTATAGCCCTCAAAATATTAATCAATTTCTATTCATGTTGTCTGGATTGTCTTAAGTATTAGAGTTCAATTGTGGTGTAATTTAAAGCGTTCATTTGGTAAGACTTGAGAGTATATAATATAGATAATCTACTATTGAGTGCAATTTCATATTATTTTGTTTTCGCTTCAAGCAGGCATTGGATGAAAAGAGGAAGGGAGCATGACCGGTATTTTTCACTATAGGTGCAGTGTTTCTAGCCATTCTTCATTCTTTGTTGGGAAAACGAAAAGGCTATAACCTTTATAGCTACATAGAGTTTTGTTTTGAATCCTAATATGTAGTCAAATATAGAGTTCATTTGTTTTCATGTTTTGTTGTAACAATTCATTGTACAGGGTCACATATTTGACCAAATAACAGGATCTTTTACTGCAATATATAAAGATCCGACTTGGGCTTAGGTTATAGTTCTTTTAACTGATTTGTGTTGCCTTGTTAGGGTGTTTTATAGTTGCTTCCGCTTACATACGCGAAGCTGAAACATTTCGTTTTCATTTTTGAAACTGCAGAAATGAAAATTCTGGCTCAAGTTACGTAGAAACTTGCTTGAGTCTGAATCGTGTCAAGTTTGTATGATTTTTCTTTTTATTTTGTTAAAACGAAGCTGTTTTCTCAATAAATTTAGAGTCAAATACATAAAGAATAGTGCTACATGTACAAATCGGTTTCACAAAAATTTTTTACAGGTGGATGGACACATAGCAGAATTTCGCTCATTTCACTACTACACCTGTACGCAGGGAATTGTTCATATATGAAATCTTTTTCTCATAACTTTGCTCAGTTCATCTCTTAATTTACTGGAGTGTTGCTGAAGTTAGCGGTATGATTAAATCTTGGACTGTTCATCTAGCAGCAGTCAGAAAAATTGCTCGACTTTAGAGTGCAATTCTGATTTCTTTGTGTATTCTTGATTTTTCTTGTTTTGAGGTCAAATTGTTAATAATACAGAAGGGAATCAGGTTTTTGTCCTTAATTATATCTGTACGTAAAAGGCTAAACCTGATATTAGCTGTTAATAATACAAAAGTTGAATATTCAAATTAAAAAAAAATAAAAAATAAAAAACCCATTTCTACTCAATTAGAGACCACGTGGCTTAACTTTTATTATGCTCTAGTTTTTAATTATCAGACATCTTAATTGCAAATCACGTTCTTCATTTGCTCTTTCGTTAAATTTGCATAAAATGAAAAATTTACCCAAAAGAAATCAACAAAACAGGAAAAGATGAATGAAGCATTGTAGATGGAGTCTTCAATCTTCCAACCCCCCCCCCCCCCCCCCCCCCCAACCAAAAAAAAAAAAAACACTCCCAAATTTTATTGAAAAAGAATTGACAAAGTACTTTAAAAAGCAAAGGGATAAAAAAAGGTCTTCTTCACCTACCTAACACACTTCCCAACCCAAAACAGGAAAAAAAATGGAGGTAGTGTGCTGGGGAGAAGAAGACCTTTTTCTTTGCTTTTTTTAATTTTTTGGTCCATCATTTTTAATTAATTTAAATGTAATCTATTTGTATTTGAAAATATCTGGAACCCTCTCTGCAATTTTTCCTTCATTTTTTTCTGTTTGATTGATTGATTTTATTTTTATTTATTTAAAGAGGAGGATAAATTCATCATTTTACGTGAATTTTAACGAAAAAATCGACAGAACGACCCGATGTGCAATTATGTGAAAGGTTGAAAACATTTGATGCTAAAATTATTAAGGACGAATTAGTAACAGTACAAAGGTTGAGGCTTGAGAAGAAAAATACAAATTTTCCTCCTTGTAATGCATTGATGTTCTCAATCCTTGGAAGGTGTAACACGTTGAAACTAAACGCGCAGAATAAAGAATAAATTTATCGCTCAATTATTGCCTAATCTGTCCAATATAATAAAGGGAAAAAAATTTCATTTTTTAAAAGAATAAAAGCTGACTTATTTTTGAGTCTTTATATATATATTTTTTAGATTACTTTAAATGGTTGCTAGCTTTTAAGTGGAATTCCCTTTTTGTAGGATCATTTTATACAATCTGTTAGCTCTCATTTCATTCCTATTTTTTGGCCATAAAAATAAAAAATATGATCGTTATCCATCACATCAAATCATCATATATGACTTTTTATCTCTTATATGAATTTCGCAACAATTATATTTTTCGTTTTCATTCTTATAAAAATTGGTAACAACCGTAAAATTATTTTGTACTCCTAATCTTCACAATCATGAACTATTATAATTAATTTGATCATCATCCGTCGACCAACACCTACCTCTTTGGTCAACAGACCATCATATGCAATGAAGATTGACATTAAAGAGAGAGGGGGCGGAAGGGGGGGGGGGCGGCATGGCTAAGAATAACAAGATGAGGTCCATATTGTTTTCGAAATGGACAAAGACTTATCAACTACTACAACTTTACTTCCCTTAACATCTAAGCTTCCCTTCATCCACACAAAAAACTTCTCGAATCTCCTCCCTCTTCTCTCTCTCCCACTAGCCTTACGGGGGGGACGATGGTTCGTCTCCGTCATCAATCAAAAGAAATCTCATCTGTACATATTGAGCACGAGCTCTCTCAACTGTCAAATTAAGATCAACTCATCTTTAGTCTTTTTCGACCTTGAGTTGCCACTGACCTTGAGGTCTAGACAAGTCCAACTAGTCAGATCCTTACCAACTCTTCCACCTTATAGTCGCACAAATAATTCTCTGCAAATTTTACTGAGAGTACAGATTTTGGACATGGGATCTGTTGGGAATCAAAATCTTTCGACTCCTTATGATAATTCTAAGGAGTGTTCACAAGGGAATTGCAGTATAAATTGTCCACGATGGTGTTACTTTAACTTCCCTCCTCCTCCGTTAGATGATGATTCAGGTACCCATTTTTCCCCACTAATCATCGCCATCATAGCAATCCTGGCAGTTGGTTTCCTTGTAGTAAGCTACTATATGATAGTAAAACGGTATTGCCGGAGAAGAAATGATCCAAACACGAGTATCGAAACCCAAGAGATTCTTGATGGACTGACTCGTGATCAGATGGCCGGTGCCTCGACTGGATTGGATGAGGCACTTATTAAGACCATCACAGTCTTTAAGTACAAGAAAGGCGATGGCCTAATTGATGGGGCTGAATGTGTAGTTTGTTTGAATGAATTTCAAGAAAATGAGTCTCTTAGACTAATGCCAAATTGTATGCATGGTTTTCACCTTCCTTGTATCGATCCATGGTTGAAATCTCACCCGAGTTGTCCTATTTGTCGTGTCGATGTTAACTTGACCTATCCGTTGCCTCCACCTGCCCGGAATTCTCAAACTCCATCGACTGTCAACGTGGCTTCTCTGGAGATTCAGAGGCCGGATGATTTGATTTTAGTGGTGGATGATCACGAGAGGGATCGTTCAGAAGAGGTGGTTCCAAGTGTAGTCGATAATGATGTTCGACCGAAGAGCCCCCTGCGAAATGTTAGTACTGCACAAGATTCTGAAACAAGAATTGACATTATCGGAACTCCCGAAAAGGATGTTAAGAAATTTAGCAGATCGATTTCTCCGGGTGCATTTTCGAGCCAACGCCAGCGCTGATATTCCGAGGATTGAAGAAGCATATGAAGGATTACAAATGGAAAGTTCCTTAAGAAGAAGAATAGCATGGAATGAGAACTAGCAAGAAGACCTGTTACAATGAGAAGATCCATTTCTACTGGAAGATTCATATTCCATAATAAAGGCAAGAATTCTATAATCCCACATTGAACATAAAAATATTGTAAAGACAATTTCTTTACTTCATACCAACTTTACCTCTTTAGTCCTTTATCTATTTATGTTTAGCACAGTAGGAAAGAAACATGTGATCTTTGAGTTTGATACTTGTGATGCCTAATATGGGATTGAGTGGAAAATGAAACAGAATTTGTCATTTATTAGTGGAAAAATTGTGTGAACAACTTGCTTGAAGAATACCAGAATGTGCCAGCAAAAATAGAGGCACCTCGATCAGTAAGTTAAGTGATGGCCTCACAAGAATTACTTATTTATATCTATTTATAAATTAAACCATGTAATTCTGCCCAAACGGAGGCTTAACCTTCTATGGAAAGTATTGCCAAGACTACTTCAAAATTTTAGGGGCCATATAGATTAGGCTATTGTCAATGCAAAATGGAATTTTGAAGTTATCTATTTGAAAACAGATTTATATCATTGTTTTTGGTGCAAGGGTAGATTAAATTTGATATATGTGGATGTGATTTAGGTACCTCCTTCTACAGTTCATTAAGTTACATTTGGTGATTCTTTTAGTGCACTCTCTCAAGTCAAGCCTTACTTGTGTCGATAACCTTTTGGATCGTGGGGGGGGGGGGCGGCATGGCTAAGAATAACAAGATGAGGTCCATATTGTTTTCGAAATGGACAAAGACTTATCAACTACTACAACTTTACTTCCCTTAACATCTAAGCTTCCCTTCATCCACACAAAAAACTTCTCGAATCTCTTCCCTCTTCTCTCTCTCCCACTAGCCTTACGGGGGGGACGATGGTTCGTCTCCGTCATCAATCAAAAGAAATCTCATCTGTCCATATTGAGCACGAGGTCTCTCAACTGTCAAATTGAGATCAACTCATCTTTAGTCTTTTTCGACCTTGAGTTGCCACTGACCTTGAGGTCTAGACAAGTCCAACTAGTCAGATCCTTACCAACTCTTCCACCTTATAGTCGCACAAATAATTCTCTGCAAATTTTACTGAGAGTACAGATTTTGGACATGGGATCTGTTGGGAATCAAAATCTTTCGACTCCTTATGATAATTCTAAGGAGTGTTCACAAGGGAATTGCAGTATAAATTGTCCACGATGGTGTTACTTTAACTTCCCTCCTCCTCCGTTAGATGATGATTCAGGTACCCATTTTTCCCCACTAATCATCGCCATCATAGCAATCCTGGCAGTTGGTTTCCTTGTAGTAAGCTACTATATGATAGTAAAACGGTATTGCCGGAGAAGAAATGATCCAAACACGAGTATCGAAACCCAAGAGATTCTTGATGGACTGACTCGTGATCAGATGGCCGGTGCCTCGACTGGATTGGATGAGGCACTTATTAAGACCATCACAGTCTTTAAGTACAAGAAAGGCGATGGCCTAATTGATGGGGCTGAATGTGTAGTTTGTTTGAATGAATTTCAAGAAAATGAGTCTCTTAGACTAATGCCAAATTGTATGCATGGTTTTCACCTTCCTTGTATCGATCCATGGTTGAAATCTCACCCGAGTTGTCCTATTTGTCGTGTCGATGTTAACTTGACCTATCCGTTGCCTCCACCTGCCCGGAATTCTCAAACTCCATCGACTGTCAACGTGGCTTCTCTGGAGATTCAGAGGCCGGATGATTTGATTTTAGTGGTGGATGATCACGAGAGGGATCGTTCAGAAGAGGTGGTTCCAAGTGTAGTCGATAATGATGTTCGACCGAAGAGCCCCCTGCGAAATGTTAGTACTGCACAAGATTCTGAAACAAGAATTGACATTATCGGAACTCCCGAAAAGGATGTTAAGAAATTTAGCAGATCGATTTCTCCGGGTGCATTTTCGAGCCAACGCCAGCGCTGATATTCCGAGGATTGAAGAAGCATATGAAGGATTACAAATGGAAAGTTCCTTAAGAAGAAGAATAGCATGGAATGAGAACTAGCAAGAAGACCTGTTACAATGAGAAGATCCATTTCTACTGGAAGATTCATATTCCATAATAAAGGCAAGAATTCTATAATCCCACATTGAACATAAAAATATTGTAAAGACAATTTCTTTACTTCATACCAACTTTACCTCTTTAGTCCTTTATCTATTTATGTTTAGCACAGTAGGAAAGAAACATGTGATCTTTGAGTTTGATACTTGTGATGCCTAATATGGGATTGAGTGGAAAATGAAACAGAATTTGTCATTTATTAGTGGAAAAATTGTGTGAACAACTTGCTTGAAGAATACCAGAATGTGCCAGCAAAAATAGAGGCACCTCGATCAGTAAGTTAAGTGATGGCCTCACAAGAATTACTTATTTATATCTATTTATAAATTAAACCATGTAATTCTGCCCAAACGGAGGCTTAACCTTCTATGGAAAGTATTGCCAAGACTACTTCAAAATTTTAGGGGCCATATAGATTAGGCTATTGTCAATGCAAAATGGAATTTTGAAGTTATCTATTTGAAAACAGATTTATATCATTGTTTTTGGTGCAAGGGTAGATTAAATTTGATATATGTGGATGTGATTTAGGTACCTCCTTCTACAGTTCATTAAGTTACATTTGGTGATTCTTTTAGTGCACTCTCTCAAGTCAAGCCTTACTTGTGTCGATAACCTTTTGGATCGTGAATTTTACAAGAAAATGAAGTTAAAATCTTATATGTCGTAATGTCTAGACATTCTGTTCTTGATTTAGTTTTTGCTAAATATGTAACCTCTCAATGGGATTATTTCTGCAATTTGCATGCTCTGAAGAGACAGATTCAAATTTGTGATGCACAAAACACTAGTCTGAGTCTGGAAAAAGGGTATTTGACAGACAAAGAATTATTAAACAGCATTTAACTAAAAAGTTCTTTGAACTGCTGTGACAGAAAGCTAACATGGTTCTGATATATTTACACACTCTTGTGAAAAATGATTGTACTCTGATCAATTCTCTGCAAATCAAATAGTTTTCAATTTAGAAAGACATATTTTGGAGTGCAAGTTTCATTTTTCTGAAATAAGAAATATCCAATAGGCATTGATTCTTCAAGATGGATGGACAATGAGGAATTAAAACTCAAGTCCATTTGCATTTAAGAGGTTAAATCAGTGACCATATTATCACAATTGTATGTATAAATATTTATGTTGATACTAGCAATAAAATTCTTAAGCCTGAAAATTCGATTAACTAAATCATTTGGCATGTACATATAATTATAAAAGCGTAACAAATCCAGTACAACACTCCAAAAACGATAAACATTTTCCAAAAAAATGAAATTCCAAACGCTTGATATCTTCCACCACAACAAATCCCTGTTAGATTGAGGCATGATACCCCTTTAAGTTATCGGGAGAATCCAATTACTCTCTTTATACAAGCTTTGCCCTTAAAGATCTGTCATCACTTCATGAATGCACCTGTTCACTCATGTCCAGATATTATAATATAGTAACACTCACCTGTTTTTTTCCAATGACACGTGATAAATTATGGTCACTCGTTACTTTTTCTCCACATTCCTCCTCTGCATCAGTCTTGTCTTGCATCAGTTATATGTATCTGTATAAAAAGAGTAACAAATATACTGAAAAAAATTTAACGACTCCCAACCATGATCATAGAAGATCGGATCATCTTCACTAAGTTGATATCTTTAACTTTGAAGAAGATCTCAATTCTAATGACATGTTTTGTTAGATACCTTAAAACTAGAATTTCTCTTTTTTAACTATCCAGTTCACCGCTGCAAACTCTGGTAAACTTGAGTGCTGTATTTAGACAGACATTAAAAAATTGTTGTCATGCTACAAAAGCACATGTATATTCAATCAAATAGTACATGAAAAATTATAATTAATATTGACTTTTCCTTCATATTCCAGCTCTGCAGTCTGCAACAATTGCTGTGCATGGTTTATGATTTTTTTCAATATATATGTACCTGTATATACATATTTTATGTTGAGTGCACAATATTATGCACATGGGTCAAGCGCTCTTACAAAGAAAAAAGATAGAGCCTAATTGTAGACATAAAAAAAATAAAATAATAATGATAATAATTAATGAATTGATTCGATTTAGATAATTAGCCTGAGTTTCTTAAATTAAAGTCTACTAAGGTCCATAAAATTCAAAGGTCCATCCTACTTTTTCATAATTCATAATTGTTCAATTATCTTTTTTTAATTAAAGATAGTTGGTTGGTTACTAAATTGGTTACGAATCTCTCTATAAATAGGACCAAAAAAGTTTCATAAGTGAAGGTAAGAAGTACTAAAAAATTTCAAAATTGAAAAAAAAAAAAAGAAAAAAGAAAAAAAAAGACCCCTTTCAAGCCTAAGCTCGACAAACACTAAGAAGATCTTTCTTCAAATCAAGCAGGTCTAAGAAGATTAAAGTCTTCTTCAAATAAAATTAAATTCAAGTCTAATTCTTGAAATGCAAGCCATATGGTACCTCGTCTTCTAACTCTCGAATCATTAATCAGAAGATTTTACAGTTTTACAATCACAAAAAGATCAACACACTTGTATTTATCAAAATGTAATTTGTAACAATTTTTGTATTTAATATACCGATAGGATCATTTTATCTTCTCATCTATTGATATACCGATAGGATCATTTTATCTTCTCATCTATTGATATCAGAATCCCCAAATTTCAACTACTACATCAACAATGTCAGATTAAAAAGTAAACAAAATTGTTACTCGTCTGGAAGAGACATTTGCTAAACTCTTCCATGTCACTAGAGCTCAAACAAAAGTTGGGAAAACTCAATTAGTCTCACGACTAAGGAAGTTCTTTAACAAGGGCAAAATGAAATTTGCTTTCAAGAAGCCAAACCCTCGTTAGGTGAAAATCTCTCATTCTGCGTTCGTCTCCAGTGGCATACTCGCGTCTAGATCCTCTCATGCTACTTTTCCTCAATGATGGGGAGACTATACTTCATCTGAACAATCACTCGAGTCAGTAATGGTCACAGAAGCGACATCAGGTTTAGATGATTGAATCAAACAAATGACTTTACCATTGAAAAATTAACACAGTCACTAGAAGAAAAAGATCTAATAATTGTTGTACTCGTACAAAGGCTAGAGTTAAAAATTTGCTAGTTGAAGGAAATTAAGAAAATGCTGGATCTTCCGAAGTTAGAGATCCAAAAGTTCAAGAACATGAACAGAAGCTAAATATGCATGATTGAATAGTTGTTCAAAACGTGTTGCGTAATACTACTCAACTCTCTGTTGGCTCTCTATACTTCCAACAACTTTAACATATAATTGCAGATATTATTCGTGCCCCATAGATGGTTAATTGCAATCTTTATTGGTGTATGTCAAGCCCTATAGTCATCGA